AACAAGATGAGCCTTTATCCACACATCGAAACTCCAAAAATAACAAAACTAAATGCCTAAGCAAGGACAAAACTGAACGGGAAGTAGAAGCAACACTGCCAATAAAATGGACAAAACTGCTGTGAATTTCTCCACAAGGTCTCTGGTTAGTCCCTAAGTCTCTACAAATTAAAGTGCATGGCTTTAAGTTTGAAGTGAGGGAAGTGGGTGGGCTTTAGGTAGACTGTATGAATTATTTGCAGATTACATAGGCAGCTTGTATAGTATAGATGCCTGGTTTCTACACTTTGACACAACATTTTACATAAGTCAGGTTGCTTACAAATGCGCATAAGATTCAAACATATTTATGTAATTGTGTCACACCTACTATATTATAAAAATAGTATTCTGATTCTATCCTAATAATCAAACTTTATGCAATATATTGCTAAATAATTTATAACAGTTAATAGTTTCTAAAACACTCCATTTTCACAATATTTAAGTTTAAATAAATAAATACATTGTGTCTATTTACATTTGTATTTTAGATTTCTTCGAACAGCTTTCCATACACTATACACACGTTTTGTCTTAACTTATTCTCATTAACTGGTATGAGGGCACACAACAGACATATAGAAACCCAGGAATTTGTGTATATGTTATGCACATGTTTGCATTTGCATGGTCCAAGAAGGAAACATTTCGCAATGTGATAATTAAACTTGTGTACACATGCTTTTCACCTGGTACGAACAAATCATATTCCTTTTATCTATGCCCACACTAATTGATTTGTCCCAGATGTACTCATGAAGTCTTAGTAGATTAATAAGAACCCACCGTTAAATCCTGGACAGATTGATTTGTTCGGAAGTATATTAGATACTTATTTGTATCTCCAGAAATGCATGTGTGAACAAATCTACAGTTAACGTAAAAATATATTCTTACTGTCCTGGATAATTTTAAACTGTGTAGCAAAGAATTGGGAAACACTTTGTTAACCATAAGCTTATTAAAACATAGTATATAAACATAGGCTTCCTTGCATCACCAGGTGATTCTGGAGGTTATTCTAGGTGACATTGTAGAAGACATTTAAGGTCTGCATGATTCATCCATCATACCATTTAACAAGTACAGTTTATTTAATGTCTACAATGCTTTCAAAACACATTGTGTTTATTAACATGTAGATATAGTTAAAGAAATACTGTGTTGTATGCTACTTTGACAACATTTGTTGAAGATCCTTAACTGTCATTTAGCACCTGGTCTTCAGAAGAAGAAACAGAAAACATATAAATTGTATTTTAAGACTAAACAACAGAAGGTTCCTCAGAGTCAAGATGTTTTTACAGTAATGTTATTAGTCATCAGGTGAAACCAACACTTTTTAATAAAAAGCTGGATGTATTGAGCAGCTGCCTGTGAGAAACCACTGCGAAAACCTGGGAACTGACCACATCCTAAACCTCTGATTGACCCAGAAGTTCTATCTATGTCTAATGTTCAGTTAATCTTTAAAGGGATCACTTTACTGAAACTCATCATTACTTTTTCTGTTATTGGGGCAATGTAATCGCAAACTTAACTTTACTATTTGACATGTTGTTTTAGCAGCTAAAAAAAGCTTCTGACTGAAGTGAAACTTTCTTGGAAGGAAACCATAGGAACCAGTATCTCACCACTAGATGGTGCAGCAATTGTCTGGGGGGGGGAAAGGCTCTCTTCTTCAACCCCACATACAGGAGGGTGGCATAAAAAATACTGTTTTATGAAATTGAGAAAAAAAATAAAAGATAGAGTTTAAAAAAATAATAATTGTTCATTAACCTATGTGAAATGTGATGTTCCTATGCATATTATAGTATTATAGTATGTGATCACTACCTAGTTAATGCCAGTTGAGAAAAGGAAACAATGAAAAAGGAGCTAGAAAAAAAGTAGACCTAATATTTAGTCTTTAAAAGAAACTTTGAGGATGATTTATAAAAAGTAGTGCCACCTCTTTTCACTCCAAAAATTTATGCATTTTAAGTTTGCACTACTATTTTCTTTTGTCTCTTTCACATTATCTTGTTTGTGCTCTTCCCAATAGTTGTAACTTTTCTTGTTATTTTTCGTAGTGGTGAGGCTGATGTATAAGAAAGAGGTACAACGGCATAAAAATTGGCAAAAATTTTGATTATTTTGTCACATTACAGAAAATGCATAAAAAGGTACCCAATGTATAAAGGTGGGGTGAAAGGTTTTTACATTTTTTTTATAATTCTTTATTTTTGATGTGAATGTTAAAGACAAAGCGTGATACAGTGTTCACTTTAGAGACATTCATTGCACATAAGATTAGGTGTATAGGGTATCACAAATATCAGCATATTTTTATATATAAGGAATAGTGACAAGATTAAGTACAGAACACCTGAGAGGGCGCAATATTTCTAAAGTATGAAGCCGACAGGAGTATCTATACATAAGTAGCCGATGTTATAAAATCGACTCTTGTTGACTAGGCATATATTTCTGTATACGGCTATAGAAAAAAACTTAATAGTACACATAGCCTCTCTAATATAAGGGAGAGTGACTAAGTCTAGGTGTAGTAACACTGGCTTATCTAAGATAAAAAACAAATTAAACGTTGGTGCCACTAGGGAGGTTGCAATTAATAAATGCAAACAGTGAGTCCTGCTAGCTAACTAGGGCATTAGCTGAACATGTATGAATAGGGCTTCTGGGTGCCCATTGTTAGGTTAAGAGGGCTCGGCAGTGAAAGAGCCATCTGGAAAATTATGATAAACGAGAGCTAAAGTAAAAACTTATAGAACATAAATGTCAACATACAAATAACGCTGCTTTTCGGGTATGTCACCTGACCTTGCCACCTCCATATTATTCACAGTGGGTCTCTGGGTAAGGAGATTAGCCGATCCCTGCTTGTGGTAGAGTTGAGTGGGACACAGGGGTAGGTCCAGGTGGGGGACATCTCCAGCGCAGTAGGGCCCAATATTCCACTAGTCCCAGGCTTTACGTGCACCCAAAAAAAGATGCACATAAAGTAAGTTTATTGATTTATGTAACTGGACATTGTGGACATGGAAACACCTAAAAACACATATAATCATATATGTCAATTGCATATGTATATGTGTATCTATCTGCATATTCTTAATTCTCTGAGTATAGTGAGTGTATGTAGCTGTTTAAATGAATGCACGGCTAAAGATAATGCTAGGAGTGGTTATAGTGAAGGGAGAATTAAGGTGTCAGAACATTACATATGATATTTAGTATTAGGAAGATTTAATGCTTGCATGGGTAATAGTTTATGTATAAGGAGCGTTACAATTATTAGGTATTTGGGTACAGGGTGTGTATAGAATTATTGAGCTTGGAGTACGTTGGGTAGTTTAAGCTTTGTTTAAGCTTTGAGTGCCTATATTTGGGAATAAGAAAAGGGTTTGTTCAGGTTTTGGGGAGGGTTAAATTTAGGGTTAAGGAAAAGGGGTGTTTAGGCCATGTGGAGTTTTGAATTCAGATGTTGAGTACTTTGCAAATAACCCTTCCGTCACCCTCCTATAACTGATAACTGTATTAGCTGTTACACAGTGTTATTTACTCAGTGCTGTTCCTACTCCTTCTGTAAAGCACATCCTGTCCAGCCTCACACACAGACACCAAAGATGCTGGGACAGTACTGAGTTTTACACCCTCTATAACTGTTACTGCAGCACTGCTGTGAAGCACTGGATGCTGATTGGACTAAAAAGGACACTAACCAAGGCTCCTGGTGCTTAGCTCTCTCCACCAGCTACAAAATGTACATTAAATGTACTGAAAGCAGGCCCTCACTAAAGGGCATGTGCATTTAGGCAGTTGCCTACTATACCAAATATGAAATATGGTCCTGTATATGTCTGCATACTGGAGCAAGGATTTTACTGTGTTGTCAGGTATTTGGTGCTTGCCATTTGATCTGATTTCTAGGTCGGAATTAGAAAAAAAAATTTCTTACTGCTCAGTTGGAAATTGTAAAAATATTACAGGAATTAAGTTATATCTCAGTTACCGAACACTTCCACTTATCTAAAAAAAAATACCTAATGACACCACAGCAGAGGTCCTGAAATTTTTGAAATGACCCTGCAGAAAGACATGGAATCACAATTAATCAGCCATGAATTGTTCCAATACCTCAACACAACTAACCCACAAACTCCAGCAATGTATCGCATTCAGAAAATTCATAGAAAGGCAATAAACCTGCCAGAACACCCTATTGCGTCATTGAACCAGTTGCCAAATGGTTGGACTGATGCTTCGTAGGAAAGTTGCATACATGTATAAAGGACACATTTATTCTGGTTAACAAGTTACTTGACATCATATTACCAGAAGAACCAGTCATGCTTGTAACTTGTGATACTAAAAGCCTTTATACTGTCATCCCGCATGAGGCATGTCTGCAAGCAATGCAGAAAATTCTAACCCACTCCCAAGCATACTACGGGTTACTGATAGTTTTCATGGAATTATTAGAACTAACATTAACACATAACTACTTTAGATTTGAATATGCCTGGTCTAAGCAAATTTGCAATATACACAACCGGTTTCAAATTTACAATGTACACATCAGTCCATCCTTGCAAGTGCGCTGTCTTGGTGTTATACTTGATTCTGGTCAAGCCTCACATCCAGTCTGTTAACAAATCCTGTAGATTCCATCTTAAAAACATAGCCCGCATCCGCCCCTTACGCAAGATGCTACTAAGGAGCTTGTCCATGCTCTAGTAATTTCTTTCATGGATTATTGTAGCCCTCTCCTCTGACAACAAACATGGAGGCAGTTGGCTTTCTGGATCTGAGGACTTACAAATGTGGAACAAGGTTAGCACATACCCTATTTTCCAAACACATGGATTGTAACACCTTACTCAATCTGACACCTTCCAACCTCTGGTCATCTTAAGTCATCACTTACATATTGTCATGCTTACCCATTCCAGAGCTCACCGATCCAGCAGCGGGTCAGACGTTCGACGTCATAACGGCGCAACTCGAAGTGACGAACCTATTGGTTTGCACGAACACAGACTCCCGAATTCGGTGTTTGGCCGAACTTGGGTCTTTAGGTGCTCTACAGTGATGCAGACCAATGGTATTGGTTCTTTCAGTGGCAAGTTACCGTGTTGTGGTTCTTGTATATCAAAGAGTGTGCTTTACATATTTTGGATTTCTTGTTACTGACTTGTTTATTGTTTCTCCGATTTCTCTTGTCTTGTCTTACCGTTTATGCTGTACTCGCCTACGTTTGACCTAGGCTTTCTCCTTGACTACCCTTTATGTGAAATCCAGCTATTCTAAGGCCCGTAATACATTGTACGTAATACATAATGTACGTAATACATTATACCTTTACTTTAGCAGATATGGGTCTGTGTGTTTGGGGTTCTTCTACTCTAGCCATGTGAAACAACAAAATAACACCATGTGGGAGAAGTTCAGTAAGTTTAGACAATGTGGTTACAGAGAGAAGAATTTGATTGAAGCTTTATCCAAATGCAAAGAACCAGCAGCACCAATAACTAACAAGCAAGAGAAACTGGTGTTTCCAAATATGTACAAAAAGCTATCGACAAGTCTTTAACGGATCACCTATAGCAACTGGCGCACCTTTCAAATGATCCATCCCTACCTGACTGTTTCTATAACTCTCCTTTGAGAGTCTTAAGGATTTCTAGTGCACACTAACCCACATCATTGCTATGAGGATATGATACAATTTTGTAAAACAAGTTGTGTTAGATGTTTTGGATGAGCTACTTTTGGACATATATTACCCAGAAAATATTTCCTACATCCCCACATAAAAATACTCAAACACAGAATTACGTGCACTACCCATATAATTTACAAACTTTGTTGTCCATGTGGCTTAACGTATATAGGCATAGATAGCATAACAGACTTGTCACTTCAAGAAAGAATCCACAACCATCTCTCTAATATCAGGACTGCATATAATAATGGAAGAACGGAATTGCTGGTTTCTAAACACTTTCTGGAGCAAAGACACCCATTACCAAGACTCAAGTTTACAGCTACTGAATGTGTCCCCCTTGAGGAAAGGCAGTGATAGAAAAAAGTACTGCTGCAACTTGAGATCATTTTGGATTAGAACCTTGGACACAGTTCACCCAAGTGGCCTGAATAAAAAGTAATCCCTTACTCTATTCATATGAATGAAGGTCATAGTATAAATAGACAATATACCTATGAACATTGCTTCCATATGTATGTATCTCTATTCCATAAAGGAGTCTACATTTTTGTTGTGCACAAACTGTCAGGGTTACATTAAAGCACATGAATTATAAGGGACCTTCTTTTTTAGCCCCTGTTTTTCTAGATTATCCTATTATTGACATTACCAATATATATGGCATATAGGGATGCACATGAATGCATATGTATGTCATCGTACAGAACAGATAAGTACTTGCACTCACATATACCAACGTAGAAACGTATTCAAACAGGAAGCATTGATATAGCTAGGCGTAGGGGAGAAAAAATCTAAATATACCACTAGGTGTCTGGAGTACTCTTAACCTTTTGAATGCTGAAAGTTGAGTAACTGAGCTAATACTAATCTAGAATTAGCAGACATAACCCAAATCCATTCATGAGTAATCCTCCAACCAGAACACAGGGAGCTTTTATTAAACTCTCTAATGATAATCAAAGGATGGAAATTAAAAAGGTCTGAGCACAGTGTTAAACAAAAGATGTAGAGTCAATATGCTTGAAATGAAGCAAGGACTTTAGGAAACAGAGCTCGCATTGTTTACAGTTTATGATGAATGCATGTCTTAATTAACGCAACATTCCAGACACAGAATGCTTCCAGGACATCAAAGCGAAATGAGTCTTCTTTAATGTCATCATATGCAATATGTTTTCCACACGATTTTGAAGTGTTCAAATGTAACATTTGGAGCTTTATTTCTTTAAAATATTTACATGGTCCACATAATATGTGCATTATATTACAGAATTTTTCATAAAGTGTGCACAAAATGTGTTAAATTAGGGGAACAATTTGATAAATCATTCTCATGATTTAGTAAATCTATTGATATAGGTATTTTGTGTGCACAATTCAATAGAAAGTGTGCACAATATTGCTACATCATCGCAGCCAATTAGTAAATCATGCACACAGTTTAATTATATCGAGGGAATGATTAGCTAAATAATGTACTATGCATTTCACATACTCAGGGTTGTTCACTAAATTGAGAATTGTTGGGAATTTGAATTTCAATTTGAATTTAAAATTTAGGGCCACAATTGCAGAACCAAATGCATAACTGGATTGAAGAATTATTCCAGTTTGGCTATTTTAAACTTGAATTTGAAATTCACTTTGTAATTCATTTTGACTGTTGTACAATTCTCCCCTTAGTGAAAAACCCTGTACAACAGACTAGGCGTGAAATAGTAGAATAAATATAAAATCTATATAAAATCTTCTAAATAATCCTGGTAGCCTCTGTGGGATCATGACTGTGAATAATTATTGATAGACTAGGAGATTCATTTTGGGTGATCATCCAAATTCCTGTACCTTGAGCCAAAATTTATCAGAATTACGAACCAAATGTATGATGCAATGGACGAGCACATTCATTTAGATTTGTGGTTTAGATTCTGCTTGACGGTCCTAAAAAGAGATCATCCATGGCACATTTTGTACCCTTCTGATTCATGTTCCTAAATTTTTCAAGCACTTTGAGGCTGTGCCTGATGTGATAAGTTTATTGACAAACAATCCAACAGTATTAATCCTTGGCCACATGCAGTGTAATAAATAAACCCTGATATTTCAACAGTAAAATACAGCTGTACAAAACAAAAGCATTTTAACCTGAAATAATAAGTTATGTATGCCTCACAAAAGGATTTATAGCTATACAAGTATTTTTAATATTATTATTATTATATATATATATATTTTTATTTTTTTTCATGGGACATAGTGAGAAAAACAACAGGAAAAAAAATCAGAAAATCCTGCTACGAACTTTACATGTGGAAATCACCTGTAACTCATCAAGAATTATAGAAGTACATAAATACCAAAAGAAACACAAGGGTTTCAATGAAGAGAACACAGAAAAACTGGTCCAAGTCGAAGCAAAGAAGGCTATGTGTACAATATTGCACTAGCTATTTGTAGTAGTGGTTTGGCAAGGGCATAACCCTTGAATCTTTAGATATTACATAACTACCAGATTAACATAGCATAACAAAACTGTGGTTTGTTTTTTTCCAATTTCCTAAGCAACTGAACAAGGTCAATATTTTGGAGCTATGTGTGTGGTGTGTAACTGTGGTATATTTTCATGGGCAACTTTGTGTAACACATGTGACCGTGAGCTACTGAGCAAGTTCTGGCTGGACAGGATACACTTTTAGGATTGAGTTACCAAATGTCTAGCTTAGACTTTACACCTTTTGCCATCAGATATATTGTACACTGTCAGTACTTGGAGCAGAGACACTATTTTGTGCGAATTCCCTCGTGGACTGTTAACAGCACTAGAATATCCCTGACTCCAGTTATGTAACGGATGTGTTTGTCGCTCTTATACTGTGGTAGTAAATGATAAATGTTTTAGAGGTTAGTTTCTTTTATGAATACATAAATTGTGGGGAACTTATTAATCATCTCCAAAAAAATCAAGTAAAATAAAGGCATTTTACAATGAAGAGCAATGTCTCAATTCCTCTCTCAGGATGTAATCCTCCCTCAAGTATAACTAATTACTCAAGGTTTATTCAGTGCTACACAACCCTACTGTTTTCATAGGGAACAAATTATCAATTTGTGGTTAGAAACAAAAGAAGAATATTTAATTAGAACTTGAGATGTACCCCATTCAGGCACATGATGCTCGTTTACTTAGAAACAAAAGGTATAGTCTGCTGAATTACACCAAACAGAACAAATAACCAACTCATGTGTAATTCTAAAAAAATTGTAAATGCCGTATTTTAATACCTTCATTACTAAATGCATTGCGAAAAAAATACCTCCAGACTGCGAATATTTTGGGTGCTCTGGAAACTAATCTTTAAATGTGTTTTTCCATGTCAGTATGCAAATTATTAAATGGAAACAAAAACAAATGTTTTGCTTGGACAGAAAAACTTACCAAATAATGAAAGGATCACTACAGTGTCAGGAAAACAAACCCCTTCTGCCACTTACCTTAATCCAGCGCCGGGCTCCCCTGTCCGACGTCACCGGGGCAAAATGCGCATGCGGGGAAAGTGCCGCGTGTGCATTCAAAGTGTCCATAGGAAAGCATTTCTCAATGCTTTGCTATGGATGCTCTGCGCGATGGAGGCGAAGTTTGCCTCCAGCGTCGCAGTTGCGCCTCTAGTGGCTGTTCAGAAGACAGCCACTAGAGGCTGGATTAACCCCAAATGTAAACATAGCAGTTTCTCTGAAACTGTTATGTTTGCATCTGAAGGGTTAAAACCTGAGGGACCTGGCACCCAGACCACTTCATTGAGCTGAAGTGGTCTGGGTGACTATAGTGTCCCTTTAAGTTACATACAAGATAACATTGATATAAATAAATAACATTCCTGAATATGTAACATAGGTATTTCCCCCTCATATTCTATAATCATCTCACATATACACTGATCAGCTACAACATTAAAACCACCTGCCTTATATCATGTAGATTCCCCTAATGCTGCCAAAACAGCTCTGATGTGTTAATACACGGACTCCACGAGACCTCTGAGCATGTTCTGATAGCATTTGTTATTCCAGCACATCCCATAGATGCTCAATCGTATTGAGAGCCGGATAATTTGGACACCTTGATCTCTTTGTCCTTAAACCATCCATGAACAATTTCTGCAGTGTAGCAAGGTGCATTATCCTGCTGAAAGAGGCCCCTGCCATCAGAGAACACCATTGCAATGAAGGGTGTACATGGTCTGCAACAATCTCTAGGTAGATGGTGCATGTCAAAGTAACATCCACATGAATGCCAGGACCGAAGGTTTCACAGTAGAACATTTACCAGAGCATAACACTGCCTCTGCCCGCCTGCCTTTTTCCCATAGTGTATCCTGCTGCCATCTCTTCTCCACAACATCCAGCAATCCATCCTATCTAAAATAAAATGTTATTCATCAGACTAGGCAACCTTTTTCCTTTACTCTACGCTCACATTCCAATTGAAGGTGCTTTTGGCGGTGGACAGGGGTCATCATGGGCACTCTGACCGGTCTGGGCAAACTGCAATGCACTGTGTGTTCCGACACCTTTCTATCATGGTTGTGACGAACTGAGCCTCGTCACGTGTTCTTGGAGGGGCCTGCTGGCCAGCCTCTTACCAAAAGATTATGGGCCCTTAAAATAAAAAAACTATGTGAACAGACTTGGTTCGTGGAATTTTATATTTGGTTCGGGAACCGAACAGCCGCAGAAATCGGAGACCACCCTGGAGCTTGTTAAGCCTAATTACCACTTTGTAGCAATTTCCACTGCAGTATTCTAAGTGTTCTTCTGGGTGGCCGCATTTCCTATGGACAACCACGAATTGGCGGCCATCTTGTTCGCATGAAAACAGGCAGCGGTGTTTGGTCGTCGAGTTCATGGAACTGTTTTCAGACACTGTAACTCCTGAACATCACTGGACTTCCATGATCGCCTGTGTTCGGTTTTATAACACTTTGGAAACACTCCCACGATCAAGGGGATCAAGCTACAGGGTAAGAACATTGACTCTATTCGGTAGTTTGTTCGGTTTTTAAACTACCGAACTAGACCGACTGCAAGCCCTGATTCTGTCGGTCAAATTATGACTTTCAGGAAATTCCTGAACCCCTGAACTGATCTGGGTGTTTTTTGGATATGTTGGTCACCCAGATCAGGGCTATCAGGGGATTGATTTTGTGTGTTTTAAGGTATTTGGGGTTTTTTGTAAAAATGTGTGTTTTCTGTGCTTGGAGATAATTGAGTTTAATACAGTGCTGACTCAATTATCTCCCAAGCATAGGGGAGTGATTGACCAATTTTGTATTGGAGTGTCCTGGACCTGAGAGCCAATGTAATTGTGTATATGTTTTTACTGTAGTCTACTCTCAGGTCCAGGGGGGAGTACCCCTTGCATGGGGACCTGCATATAAGGCCAGTTGTGGCTGCCATTAAACAGATTTGTTTTACCCTTCATGAAGTCTAGGCTCATGTTTGGGGGATTGGAGAGATATATTCCCTCTGGGGATTGCTATAATCATTATACTCCCTTGGATCACAACAATTACTCTTCTAAGAGCAGCCTGCTTTGCTATCTGGACTAGGAGAGGTCTAACTACTGGAAGCTGGATCCTGGTCTTGGATCCAGAGTGGGTGGAGAACAGGGAGACCCCAACCAAGCTTCGGCAGTTTGTAGGATTTACGGTGGTTATGGTGTCTGGTGCGGTACTTATGGTACTCAAGGATTACTAGGAAGCAGTGATTGACGAAGGTAACCGGTCGGGGTGCTAGGCGGTCAGTCACAATGGCCAGCATTAAAGGGACACTATAGGCACTAAAACAACTTTAGCTTAATGAATTAATTTCGGTGTATAGATCATGCCCCTGCAGTCTCACTGCTCAATTTCCTGCCATTTAGGAATTAAATCACTTTGTTTGTGCAGCCCTAGTCACACCTCGCTGCATGTGACCTACACAGCATTCCAAAACACTTACAGTAAAGATAGATCTAATGTGTAAAATTATTTTATTGCATTCTGTTTCATTTAGAATTTATTTTTGCCTGCTCTGTTAATAGCCTGCGAGCCTCATGTGTGTGATTTAAGTTTAATTTACAGAGCAGGAGATAAAAACATCTAAAGCAAGTAAAAGAGTTTCTCCAAGCCTTTTTTCATAGTTTAAAGAATAATGCCCAATTTGCATTATTCTGTATGTCCCTTCCCCCAGAAAAAAACTTTTTAAAGAGTGTTTTAAACTAAAGTTTAACTTAAAAACCGGTATCAAGTAGTGAACAAAGTGCAAAAGACCTCAAACACAGCTTGATGTAAGTGCAGCGCTAAAACAGTATTATAGATTGTGATACACTTACCCCTCACAGTATAAATGGGGTGTATATGTGAAAATAAACAGAAAAAAACATATATAGAGTAGTATTGTCTGATGCGTTTGAAAATATATCAAATAAGTGAGAAGAATAAAACTCACATTTCAGAGAGCCTTTTATGAGGATATAGGCTCTAAACACAACAGCTTCTTTGCCTTTAAAGGTAGGCAATAGAACCTTAAAAACAGGAGTGTTCTTCTTTTCTTTTGTTGATGAATTATATCTGTTACCAAGTTACTAAACACACTCCGTTCTACATTCTTATCCTCTCACAGTGAGTTGATTATTAAACTCACTGTGAGAGGATAAGAATGTAGAACGGAGTGTGTTTAGTAACTTGGTAACAGATATAATTCATCAACAAAAGAAAAGAAGAACACTCCTGTTTTTAAGGTTCTATTGCCTACCTTTAAAGGCAAAGAAGCTGTTGTGTTTAGAGACTATATCCTCATAAAAGGCTCTCTCAAATGTGAGTTTTATTCTTCTCACTTATTTGATATATTTTCAAACACATCAGACAATACTACTCTATATATGTTTTTTTCTGTTTATTTTCACATATACACCCCATATATACTGTGAGGGGTAAGTGTATCACAATCTATAATACTGTTTTAGCGCTGCACTTACATCAAGCTGTGTTTGAGGTCTTTTGCACTTTGTTCACTACTTGATACCGGTTTTTATGTTTTATAATTATAGTGTCTTGTGGAGTATTCACTAAAAGTGCACATAGCTATATTTTATATAATTCACATTAAATAATATTTTAAGCGCCTTTTTATCCACATCCACCTCTGTGTGTTTTTTCTTGTAAAGTTTAACGTACCTTAATCTAGCATTGGGCGAAGCTGTCTGATGTCATGAGAGTCACACCAGGGTCCAATCAAAGGCTTCTCACAGAGGGAGGACTTCATTTAGGGTGGGTGAGATGGGAGAGAAGAGCCGTTACAGCTGTTCCTATTGTGCAGTGCATACTGACCACCTTGACCTACCACCATGCACACTTCAAAAAACATGTTAATTAGAGTAACCTTTTTACATCTCATTGAAAACGAAACCATTTTTTTCATGCAGGCTATAAATCACATCCAGGGGCGGTGTGGCTAGGGCTGCATAAAAAGTGAATTATTGAGAGAATTGAGTAGTGAGAGTGCAGGGGCACAATTCATACACCAAAACTGCTTCATTAATCCTAAAGTTGTATTGATATCCAGGGCCGGCGCTACCATAAAGTGAATAAGGCATTCGCCTGGGGTGCTGACCTTTCTTTAAAATAATACTCGATTCTGAGTTATTGGTGAATACCCTAGAAATTATGTACCCACAACTGTGTGTGTACAAAAAAGTTAGAAACATCTTAGTATTGTGTGTTGATTTTGTTTATAGGTAACCATACATGGTTTGGTTTCTTTCTGCTTTGCATTCTAGCTGCGTATATGCATCTTTTTCATAGCAAAATCATTATAAGGCTTGCTATTTTGGTTTTAAAACCAATGACAGTTAAAGAGATAATAAAAAAAATTGCAAACAAAATAAGGTGTAAACATTGCACTCCAGCTAGGTTGTTCATTAAACTCACATTTGTACTAAATTAAATCCAAATTGCAGACATTCTCCAAATCAGTTAGAGCAATTGCTTGGCTATTTTATTCAATTTGCTACAATATGAAGTTAATTAATTAGTATGAAAAAGGTCCACAAAAGTACTACAGTGAGCACTATACAGGTGATACTCGAAAAATTAGAATATCGTGCAAAAGTTCATTTATTTCAGTAATGCAACATAAAAGGGGAAACTAATATATGAGATAGACGCATTACATGCAAAGCAAGATAGTTCAAGCCGTAATTTGCCATAAGTGCGATGATTATGGCTTACAGCTCATGAAAACCCCAAATCCACAATCTCAGTAAATTAGAATATTACATGCAATCAATAAAACAAGGAGTGTACATAGAACAATATCGGACCTCTGAAAAGTATAAGCATGCATATGGACTCAGTACTTTGTTTGGGCCCCTTTTGCAGCAATTACTGCTTCAATGTGGCGTGGCATGGAAGTTATCAGCCTGTGGTACTGCTGAGGTGTTATGGAAGACCAGGATGCTTCAATAGCGGCCTTCAGCTCTTCTGCATTGTTCAGTCTCATGTCTCTCATTTTTCTCTTGGCAATGCCCCATAGATTCTCTATGGGGTTTAGGTCAGGTAAGTTTGCTGGCCAATCAAGCACAGTAATCCCACGGTCATTGAACCAGGCTTTGGTGCTTTTGGCAGTGTGGGCAGTTGTCAAGTCCTGCTGGAAAATGAAGTCAGCATCCCCATAAAGCTCATCTGCGAAAGGAAGCATGAAGTGCTGAAAACCCCAAATCCACAATCTCAGTAAATTAGAATATGTGAAGGAAGCATGAAGTGCTCCAAAATCTCCTGGTAGATGGCTGTGTTGACCCTGGACTTAATGAAGCAAAGTGGACCAAAACCAGCAGATGACATGGTTCCCCAAATCAACACAGACTGTGGAAACTTCACACTGGACTTTAAGCATCTTGCAGTGTGTGCCTCTCCATTCTTCCTCCAGACTCTGGGTCCTTGGTTTCCAAATGAGATGCAAAAGTTGCTCTCATCAGAAAAAAGGACTTTGGACCACTGAGCAACAGACCAGGTCTGTTTTTCTTTAGCCCAGGTAAGACGCTTCTGACGTTGCTTGTTGTTCAGAAGCGGCTTGACAAGAGGAATACCACATCTGAAGCCCGTGTCCAGGATCTGTGTGTGGTGGCTCTTGATGCACTGACTCCAGCCTCAGTCCACTCCTTGTGAAAATCCCCAACACTTTTGAATGGCCTTTTCCTGACAATCCTCTCCAGGCTGCGGTCATCCCTGCTGCTTGTGCACCTTTTTCTTCCCCACTTTTCCCTTTGATACAGCACTTTGGGAACATCCAACTTCCTTCACAATTACCTTTTGAGGCTTTCCCTCCTTATGGAGGGTGTCAATGGTGGTTTTCTGCACAACTGTCAGGTCAGCAGTCTTCCCCATGATTGTGATTCCTACTGAACCAGACTGAGAGACCATTTAAAGGCTCAGAAACCCTTTGCAGGTGTTATGGCTTACTTAGCTGATTAGAGTGGGACACTGTGAGCCTAGACACAATATTCACAATATTCTAATTTACTGAGATTGTGGATTTGGGGTTTGCATGAGCTGTAAGCCATAATCATCGCACTTATAACAAATCACGGCTTGAACTATCTTGCTTTGCATGTAATGCGTCTATTTCATATATTAGTTTCCCCTTTTACGTTGCATTACTGAAATAAATGAACTTTTTCACGATATTCTAATTTTTCGAGTATCATCTGTATTGTTGCCTCCCTTATCTTCTCAGTCTGGATCCCTACCAACTGCAAAATATCTGAAGAATTTATCTACAGCATATATCCCAGAAGTGGGGATCATCCAACTTCACGCCATACACACCGAAGCTGGTTATAGCTAATGTAACTGTGAATAGAATAGATTTTACATACTCCTTCATACTAAATTTTTAACGTACTGCAGTTTCTCTTTTTATGTTTTCCATACACTACTGGAATTACAAGCACTCTTCCATCAAGAATTTCTGACTGTACCAAGGTTCGGCTGTTCCTTTTCAAGACTTTTTTACCTATTGGACTTGTATATTACTGTATTTGGACCATACACTTTTTATTGGTATATTTTTTATATTATTTTATATCGCTATGTTTTGTTCAATTTTTAAGGCGCATTCTTCTCTTCTTTTCTTTCTCTATCTGCAAGTAGTAAGTATAACGTTTGCAACCTATTCCTCTAGCCTCATGTTGTTAGGGGCTGGCTGAAATGCAGAATCTGGGAAGGGAGCTACAGTAATAAATTGGCACCTGGAAAATATGGATCTTACTATCTTTTATCACTCACCCCTTTGTTTTAATATTCCCTACCCAAGGCGCAAAGGAGGTTGGGTAAACAGTAATACCCACCACCTGAAGGGGTGAGGTCGTCGTCCCAGTATTTTACAAGATGAGGCCTTTCCTAGTGACTGGGCAGCCAGTTATACATTTTTAATCATGGTGAACAGCTACTGTTTAGTATACATGGCCCACATACAGCATGATGGGTGGGTGTAAAAGGTATAACAACTCCCTTATACTAACATAGGGGTCATATTGACCCCAATGGGATTATTCTATTTATTTTTTACATTTTAAAGAGGCATGATTAACCCTTGTGTCTCCAAGGTTTATTTTTATTTATTTTTATTATTTGCCCTGCTGGCTGCTAGTAGGATTTTTTAAATTGCTGAATGACAAAAAAAACAAAACAGATTGTCCCTTGTCCATTTTGTTTGTCCATTTTGTTTGATACATCCATAAACTAAGTGTTGATAGTTGTAATTTAACCCCTTAGGGACACATGACATGTGTGACATGTCATGATTCCCTTTTATTCCAGAAGTTTGGTCCTTAAGGGGTTAAATAAGGGGTTAGGCTACTGCAATCTAAATCTTCTATTGTATTAGTTAGGTCACACCCAAAAAATCTATGGTAATATTATGAAAATTGTATTCTGCTATGTTCACTCTACGTACAGTAAATAACCGTGAAGTATCCATTTGTTATAAATGTTCCTCATTAAATCAGTGAACATACAAGATTCAGCAAACTCGCTCATTCACCAAACAGCAATTTCAAAGCTCACAAATGTAATTGTTTTTTTTTCTTTTTAACACCTATCGTAGGCAAAAAATGTGGGTATGTGGTGCACATTATATGATCACACATTTCATAATCCTGCCACAATGCCAATGTACCCCAGATCCTATCCTAGTAACCTAATGCCTGCTCTTATGAGATTAACCCACTTAATCGGAAAATCCTTCCACCTGGGACTCTGTGCAGAGAAGAGTTGTGTGTGCGCGCGTGTGTGCGCACTGTTTATGTGCATAGTGTTTGTTGCATTTGGTTGCTGCTGTTATCTGTCAATATCCCATTGATTAATAAAAGCATTAAAAAAGCCTCACAAAACCCTTTCAGTTTGATTTAAATCGAGACTACATTTTAGAAGAAAGTATAGTGCTGGAATGTACTTTAAATTTGGAATGAGCACATGTTCTGCCAACAATAACGGAAATCCTGATATAATGGAATAAGAGAAAATGGTTCCTTAGATGCTAAGTACTATAAAGTTTAATGATGCAAAGTTTTCACAGTCTATGCCAAGTATTTTAGTCGATGTTGCATACTCTATATTTCCAACAGTCAATTCACATAACACTGTTATGTATGATGTACCACAATTCTTAAAATTCATTGAAAATATATGTATATTTTTAAATGGCATATATGTATATAGCTTAATATAACATTGTTTTCTAACACTTGTCTACATTTGTAAAAATATGTGTCTTTTTAATTAAGCTTGAACACATAGCCCTGTATGTGTATGTAAGGCAGAGGCAAAGTGTTTTTTGGAGTTATCAACATAATCATTTCATTATATTCCACCAAAATTAAGAATCTTTTCTGAATTTGCCTTGCCAATTTAAAGTTGATTGTAAAAGCATAGATATAGCATTTTTTTTTTATTGCTGTTTTTATCTGAGCAGATGTAGTACGGACCTTTACATCTGATTTAGGCTTATCTTATTCAGGAAGACCTATGGAGAAGTTTGTCCATTTCCTTATGAAAAAAGCTAGCAAGAGTGTGTCTGGGACACCCTGATAGGGGATAACCCTCACAATTGTGTATTAACTAGCATGTAGAATGATCCCAAGGGGATAAACCCCCAGGGGTCATAAATTTAGGGAGTCCCGTGAAATATATATGTGTACTTAAAACGTAACTTTTATTGATCACTCTAATAATAGACTTTTTATACCTATATAAATAATAATAAAGCTTGTGAAGTGAACAAGAAAAAGAGAGAAGAAAAGGGGCAGGTAACTAAACAAATGTATATGAAGGTTCTACATCAAATGGGTGCCTAATGCTACAGATATAACATAATCAGAGGTGTACCAAAAAGGCATACCCTTGCCGAGAGTCTATAGCCTTAATAGAGGAAGGTAAGAGCCAAGTATTCTCTTAGCCAAAGACTATGAACACTTGCAATAAAGAAAAAAGTGTTGGCTGGTTGAACACCCTTCTGCTCCTATATAATGTAAGCCTAAGTATCGTAATAAATATTGCTTCAATGCTTATAAAGCGGTGAGAGAGAGCCCTCGCAGTATACAGCTGCCTAACACATAAATTGCTTGAGATAAAGGCTGTCAAGGCTTAAGCTGTAACTGTCTTCAACGGAAAACTGATACTTCTAGTGGCTAGTTATTATATACACTGTAGCAGAACTTAACTAAAAATAGCCTCTGCATTAAGCCTAGAAACAAACAATCATTTAAGCCTGTCCTGACACCTAGCCTGACGCGCATTTCGGCACATACACACAGATACCCCCCCACACACACACACACACACACAATCTGACATACATTGCAGCCACCTGTTAGCACAACTTTGTTGAGGCTGGTGGGCGTGAACATGTAGCTGGTCACTCCAGCCTTTCCATGCTGCCTGTGCTGCTGCTATAATCAGCTTCTTTTTTCTCACTGCCAGGTAGCTATCATTTTAGCTGGAAGGAAATGCCAGGACATCACTTTCTCCCAGCCAGAAGATACTGTAGGGTCCCGGACAGGCTCTTAATGGAGCTAGGGCACCTGACCAGGCCCCTGCTCAGAAATAATACTAATCGGGTCAGTAATAGGAGGCATTTATTGAGGGCATTTAGCAATAGGACATTGTATGTCAGATCATTGTGTGTGAGAGTTCCGTGATATTACATATGATATGCGGGTGTCAGGGAGCCGCATTAAATAAGTAGGAGTCTCCTTGAACTACCGGGAGACTTGGGATGTCTGGAATTAGCTCACCATAGCAATGTAGTACTGTTACCATGCATAGTGCAACATGTGGCTGGTGTGCATAATGCTGGGCATAATGGTACAAGAATTGACTCCCAGGAAAACAAAACAGTCCAGCAAGACTGCGTAGTGGTAGGCAACCTTCAGCACTCCAGATACATAGTTACATAGTTACATAGCTGAAAAGAGACTTGTGCCCATCAAGTTCAGCCTTCCACACATTTGTTTTTTGCTGTTGATCCAAAAGAAGGCAAAAAACCTAGTTTGAAGCACTTTCAATTTTGCAACAAGCTAGGAAAAAAATCCTTCTTGACCCCAGAGTGGCAGTCAGATTTATCCTTTGATCAAGCAGTTATTACCCTACATTGAAAGATTATATCCTTGAATATTCTGTTTTTGCAAGTATGCATCTAGTAGCTGTATGGACTCTGATAAAACCACTTCTTCAGGCAGAAAATTCCACATCCTTATTGTTCTTACAGTAAAAAAAACTTTCCTTTGCCTTAGACAAAATCTTCTTCCTTCCAGTCTAAACGCATAACCTCGTGTCCTATGTGAAGTCCGGTTTGTGAATAGATTTCCACACAATGGTTTGTATTGGCCCAGAATATATTTGTATAATGTTATCATACCCCCTCTCAGGTGAGCTTTTTCTAAACTAAATAGGTTTAAATTTGTTAACCTTTCTTCATAGCTGATATGTTCCATTCCTTTTATTAATTTTGTAGCCCGCCTCTGCACTTTTTCTAGTGCCATAATATCCTTCTTTAGAACAGGTGCCCAAAATTGCACAGCATATTCAATATGGGGTCTTACCAGTGATTTATAAAGAGGCAAAATGATATTCTCGTCCTGAGAATGAATGCCCTTTTTCATGCATGACAATACCTTACTGGCCATGGCCACTTCTGATTGACATTGCACATTGTTGCATAGTTTGTCTATAACAATTCCCAAGTCCTTTTCGTTTGTTGTTATCCCTAATTCGCTTCCATGTTGGCAAAGCATCAAGGGATATATAGTCCACAACACCTGGAGTACCAAAGGTTGCCTAACCCTGGTGTAGGTCATTAAGAATAAATTTGATGTTGGTTCTCTGGCAAACAATCGTTAATGTTGTTTGCTACCATTCTGAGCTACAGGAGATTACATGCTGGATTTTCACTAGTTTTGCCTGGTTTTGGTTCTTAGAAAAGAAGTGCATACGTGCTTTATGTGAGTAATATGTGGGGTTTTTGTGCAAGAAATTCAAGGAAAGAATGAAGAAGAAATTACAGTCAGTATTGTTAAGGAATATTGCATCGCACCTGACTAAACCAAACTACCATTTTGATTGCAAAAAGTTCACAAAGTACACCCACATAATAATAATTGTCATATTGTATTTATATAACATCAACAAAATCTGTATTACCAACCATAATATGCCATTAATCCAACACTGCTGTTAACCCATATACCACTATATCTCATGTGTATCATGCACTGTTACATACACAATCCTCTACCCAGCCCCATGGGCTGTGGGATGGTAAGATTTTTTTACAGGTGCACTAATACTTGGAACCATATAAGAGGAGCCCAAACGACTAAAGAGAAGCATCAGGTATCTTTTTGTATGTTCATTTGTATAAGGAGGATGAAGGGTTTAATGTAATTAAGCAAGTGGTCATGCAGCTCCCATGGTATACTCATATTGGAAATAGTGCCAAGGGACGCTAATCTTCTGGTCATACATACTGGTTACACAGAGTGTGATAATGGCTATATACACTAAAAAATAATACAGTGAAGTACTAGTAGTGTGGTCCCCAGCCACTTATAGCTTTCTTAGTCCTTTTAGAGTATATCAGGAAACCAAAGGCACCAAACTAAAATCTCTGTCACATACCCATTTCCCTAATATTTGTCATAATAAATCAATTCCTTGAAACATATATGCTTTAATACTTACAAACATCCAGTATCCAGTAGCCCCTCCATGTTTCTCATTTCCCCTAGCCCTTCCATGTGTCTCATTAAACCCCAGCCCCTCCGTGTGTATGTGGCAAAGTACATGTAAGTGAAGAGAACGGTGGCAAGTGACTGAATGGAGACTGGGGGTTATATGAATGTGTGTGTACGTGCACGCAAGATACTGGATGGCGAGTGTGTGTTTATCACTTGGAAGTCGAGTCTGGGTTTTGTTTCAGGCTGCTAATGCATTGAACAGGAGTAAAAATGGAAAGGTGACAAGGTAGGGTATATTGAATATGAGGTGGAGGGTATACCTGTTATAAGGTTATAAAATTCACCATTCAGGTGTGTGATAGGGCTTTCATGAGTGACACACAGACAGCACATTTCTAGAGGCCGGACCTCTGTGTAATTCCTGGGCCGTGCAGTGTAACACTAACAACTGCATGCACATGTACCAATTAAAGGGAGGAGTTGTAGCAGTTACTAAAGGGTGGACAGAATTACTAGGGGGATGCAAAGCGACTGATTCTGCTATTAAACAGCTGCTCATTCCCCCATGTGCTCACAACAGCCGTCAGCTTTCATGGCCATTTAGAAGGGGCTGGGTAGAATAAATAGCAGCATAGCTACCACTGGCTGAGTTTGAATTATGGCCATTTTGGGAATGAGTCTGGTGGCCATTTTGCAAACAAAGGCAATGGGTGCCTTGCATCTAGAGCACTCCCTTTGGCTCACCTCTGTTGAAAACATCTAGCCAGAACTAGCAAATGGAGACAGCATAGGCAATCAAAGACATTGTGCATAGATTTATGGATGGTTCTGATAAGGCTAATGAATCCCTGTAATAAGCATTAGTCGTATGTGGTAAGTTAAACAAAGATTATTGCATAATATAAAACATACAATGTGATTCCAAATTAATACCTGTACAGATTATTGAAAATCAGATATTGACTTTGATTTGTATAGCTGCCATAGGACATTTATTCTCGGTTTTATATTTTCAATGGAAGGTATACTGTAATGGAAAATTTCTGACATTTTCCAGAACATCTTTAACTAAGATTTCAATTTCCAGATGCAGGAACAATAGATATGTCTCAAACTAATACATTTCAAAGTAATTGATGAACTGATTCAATAAAGTATATATTTTATGTTTTTCATATGCAGCCTGGTTCAATTGAAGGTTGTATTATGCTTTTATTGTTAGAATGACTGTATTCTTGTATCGTTATATCACACTTTCTTTTGGAAGCAGATGTTTAACAGAAGTAAAAACAGAAGAAAATGAAATCCAAATAACATTTTTCAGTGTAGGGTACACGGTAAAAAATAATATTTTATATTTAGTGCTGTTATTTTGAACATACACACAAATAAAATAAAACTGTACAATCTGTTAAATTTAAATAATTGCTACCAAAAATAACATACTATCCATACAATAACTTAACTTTGTGTTTCTATTGTGTTTTATACCCCACCTCCTATAGAATGTAAGCTTGTTTGAGCAGGGTCCTCATCAACCTATCGTTCCTGTAAGTTTTCTTGTAATTGTCCCCCCCGTCATAATACTGTAAAGCACTATGGAATCTGTTGGCGCTATATAAATGGCGATAATAATAACAATGACATAAAGTGCTACCTTTGTGGGAAATGTATATGTTAAAGATGTATTGTTACTATATCAACTAACCTAGGCTTTGATCATAATCCAGTTTTTGATTTACACCATTTCTTTAATTGTATGTGGGTTTCCAATGTAATCAAAATTCGAAGTTAGAAATCATTATTGACAGAAAACTGGGCCTAACTTCAGTAGTCATTGTTATTTACACAAGTTCAAGAACATTATTTCCAGATCGTGAGGTTAATGACAAACAAAATGGTTTCATTTTGGCAAAAACTGACCTGTTTGACCACTTTTATAGTGCAGCGGTTATAGGTGTATTACTAACCTGTTGTGTCCCAAATCAGACAGTATATATGTATATTTGTTAGTTTATTGATTTTCCTCCATAATATATTAGGGTTTTGTTTGTTTGTACTTTATTTGCTTTCTTAATCAACCAGTCATCAATTAGAACAAGGCTGTGTATCCTGTTCACAGTAGAAAGCTTATGCTATTTATTAAGGTTTTGGCTTAAAAAAAAGTTAGTTGAAATGTGTTTTCACTGATTTATTTTGTCTGTTGGAAATTGATAAGTATGCAATGGTTCTGTTAACATGTCATCTCTTTTTAAAGTTGAGATTTATTAACCTTGAGTTTTAAAGTAAATTAAAGGGTCATTTTTCACTTTGCTAATAATGGAAAAAGTAAAAAAAAAATTGAAACAGTGTTATCGTAGTCACTTCAATGTTTTTAACAGCTTATTGGTAGTTGTAAAATGTCAATAATTATCTAACAATAGATTTTAATTGATGATGATTTCCATTTCTAGAAAATGTAAAATTGTACTCTCATGCATACAATCCAGGGGCAGTAACAAGTTTAATGCTTCAACACTTCCTTATATTGTACCTTCACTATGTTGATACCAATGTTCGACAGCAGCAAATCATGGCTTTGAGCTTTGAGTGTATTGTTCAATGTAAATATTACATAGTTACATAGTAATCTGGGCTTAAAAATTACTCAAGCCGGGGAGGAAACAGGATGCAACTGAGAGAGGAGGAGTGAGGAGAAAGAGCTGTGCAGCTTCAGACTCCCATTAGGATCAGCCAGCCCCAGGAAGTCACCTCCCTACAACCAAAAGACACCATACCAGAGCAGACATAGTGTAATACTTCTCTGGAAAAATTTATTTGGAACTCAACTCAAGCATGAGAGTTCTTCCAAGATAGAGTGGATTATGGTTCCTTGAGGTATGTGGAGAAAGGCAGGAATGAGAAGTGAACTCTTGTTCCAAGTCAGGGAGTCGAGAGTAGAGCGTAGTCAGGATCAAGCCAAGAGGTTCGGTACACAGGAAATCTATTAGAAGCTACGTCGGTAAATAGGCAACACAGTAGCAAGTATGCGAGAGTATCAAACACAGGAAACATTGATTGAGCAATTTTGCTGCTTCCTTTTGAAGGGAAGTGCGTGACATCAGACACATGGGCGGAAAAAGATCGTCGAAACCCAGAGGTTATACGGGTAGTGCCGATCTGGCTGAAATCAAACATGGAGGAATTCCGAAAGCATAGGGAGGAATCCTAACACATAGGCCCTGAGAGGCCTCACCACTGCCATTGGACAAGGGGGATCCTGACAGTCCCTGACAGTCCTCCACCAAGTCCCCGACCTCCATAGCTCCCACAGGGAATGGATGACTGTTCACCTGTCTCAAAAAGGGACATACAAGCCATGCTGGCAGACCTTCAACAAAACCTTGGACAAATGTGGGAAGCAGATCTGGGGGTGCTTACTATAGAAGTGCAAGCCGAGACCGCATGCACACAAGCAACTGAAGCTAAGTGACAGATCTGAAACAAGGCCTTCATGCACTAGGGGAAAAAGTACAACAACTGCAATCCACACAGGCTAATCTGGCCAGACAAGTTAACTTACTAGATGATAGAAGCAGATGCAAGAACATCAAGATCAGAGGGGTCAAGGAGTCAATACCAGTGGAAGAGCTGCCTCACTTTATCAGGTGCCTAGTGGCTGCAGTGTTGCCATCAAAACAGGCCAAAACCTATTTGATGGAGTCTACATAATCTCAAAAACCCCACAAGCACCAAAGACAGCCCAACAGGATCTCATATTGCGATGGTCGCACTTCATGGAAAGACTCCCTATGAGCTCCCCTCCCCTAACCCGTACCAAGCAAAAAGTGGCAATGCCGCCATTATGGCTGCACCCTACCGGCTCAGCTCGGTTGTATAAAATTGTCCCAGTTCCCGGTTCACTCCTTAGGTGCAATACCATTGATCACCACTCTCCCTGTTTGGTGCTATTCCTTACTTCTTGGAACATTAAACACTTCAGCTGGCCCTTGTTAGACACCTTTATAGTCTGGCCTCACCCTTCTCTCAGGGTCAGATCATTGTTTCTTTGTTCCTGTGGCAGTTTAGTCTCTGCATCTTGTTCCTATGTCCTCTGGTCTTGTATCCTTTGTCACTGATCCTGCATCCTCTGGTCCTGTATCCTGTGACTCTGATCTTGCATCTTGTAATTTTTTTTGTTTCATAATATACTTATTTTTACTCTCATTACCTAGAGTGGGACACTGTGAGCTTTGAACATTGCACCTTTTCACAATATTCTAATTTACTGAGATTGTGGATTTGGGGTTTTCATGAGCTGTAAGCCATAATCATCACCCTTATGACAAATTACGGCTTGAACTATTTTGCTTTGCATGTAATGCGTCTATCTCCTATATTAGTTTCCCCTTTTATGTTGCATTACTGAAATAAATTAACTTTTGCACGATATTCTAATATTTTGAGTATCACTTGTACTATATCTCATTCTAAGTATAACAAATGTGCAACATGTATCACCATGATGCCTTGTATTACCTATGTTACAGTACTGAATAGCATGTATCTTGTGTAATGGTACTACAAGTATATCTGTCACTTGATCATGCAAAAATAAAGAATTTTAAAAAAAATGATCAAGTCCACTAAATTAATCTTTGAAATCTAATCTTTTTATGATGTTTATCCAAAAGAAGGTACACCCCACAATTTAATTGGATTGCCAATAATTATGTCACAAAAATATCACCTTGATAATGACAATTAGATTTACCCTTGGATAAAACAACCTCTTCACCTGCCTTTGAAGGATATCATTGAATATTCTGTTTTTTTGTTTTTTTTAAAATAATAATAATCCAGGCCTTTTTTTATATCTATAGAATTTGATAAGATATTTTCTTTGATTAGAGAAGTCCACATCTTTATTGTTCTTACAGTAATAACCTTTTCCTCTTCTGTAAGTGAAAAAACTTTTCTTTCAGTCTCAATGACTGTTGTATATTCCTGCTAATGAACAGGTTAGTACATAGCGGTTTTTACTCAGCCTGTATATATTTATACAGTGTTATCCCCTTTGAGACATATTTTTGTTCTTAAGAAAACAAATGATTTTTTCTCGTCTTTTATCATAAATACAGTTTTACAACAGTCTTATTAATTTTGTAGCTCATCTCTGCACTATATCTAGTACTGTAGTATCTTTCTTTAAAACTGGTGCCTGGTGAGGCCTTACCATTGATGTATAAAGAGGCAAAATTATATCTTGATCATGTGAATTACTACTTCTTTTTATACATAACTGTACCTTACTAACAAATGGAATCTGTGCAAAAAAACTACCTATTTACAGCTCTTTAATATTTCACTAAGTAGCGAGCAAATGTGTAGAGGATGAATACTTCACTTAATTGGGTCTATTAATACATAATCTGTACTGCTGGTCATGGTGTACACACACAATAATCTGGTTCTGGCACTTATCGCGTGCTATTCTACACAAAATGCTTTCAGTACACATACCTACCTTGAACAGCATGGAAGATAACTGAGTTCCAACACAGGTAATGCTCATTTTATCTGGAGTACAAATAAGGTGATAGCGCACAAATGGTTATTGTAATTCACAGCAATACAAGCAGACAAGGTGGAATCTATTATAAAAAATATAAAACCAACATAGCATAGACTGTATAACGTGGTATCCTCATAAAAAGTTTAGAGGACACTCACGGATTAAAGAGGTAGGTATCTGAACTCGGTAGGTATTTTCAACCTATAAGAAATGAGACAGAAAAAAGATAAAAATATAGGATTATAGAAGGGTACCAATATCGAAATCAATGTTTAGCCCTTTTGGAGACGGTGTCTGCAGTTCGAAGATTCATTTTAGCTCTTGTTTATCCAAACTGCAGGCACTGTCACCACCCCTCCAGTGATTTTGTATCCTCTTTATCCATAAAGTCTAATTCTGCGGGGTTAGAATGGTGACAATCTAAAAAATGTTTGGACACACTGTGGTTTTCAAAGCCCTTTTTTATAGTTCTAATATGTTCATTAATGCGAACTTTTAACCCCATGTGTGACATGTCATGATTCCCTTTTATTCCAGAAGTTTAAAGGGGTTTTTCCTACATATTATAGGCCACACAGTTTCATGTCACAGGTTATTATGATTTCATTTTAAACTCTTTTTTAGTTACCATAGTTACAAAAATAAAATTTTTCTTAATAATTTTTGATTGTTTGCATGCAGTGCAACTCCCACAGTGATAAAAGCTTTTTTGTAATTTGGACCATTTATCTAAAAAGTTATCTTCTCTATCTCTTGCTATATAACTTGAAGTTAAAAACTGTTTAAAATTTTTAGCTCCCCCGGTTGTTTGCAGTGCGTTAAACGGGGAGTTTGGGCTGTCACTGTGAAGCGGGCGTAACCCTTACACTACCTGATCGATACAACATCATACCTGATGTTTTAAAGCACGTTATTCCAAACAATTTAGGAATGTTAGGTGATTTATGCCCTTTATGGATTAAAACCAGACTCTGCATCAACTATGTAATTTTCCATGGGTGTCTTGCCATGGATCCCCCTCCGGCATGCCACAGTCCAGGTGTTAGTCCCCTTGAAACAACTTTTCCATCACTATTGTGGCCAGAAAGAGTCCCTGTGGGTTTTAAAATTTGCCTGCCTATTGTAGTCTATGGCGGTTCGCCCGGTTCCAGGGCCGTCTTTAACGCGGGGCAAACGGGGCAGCTGCCCCGGGCCCAATTACTCCTGGGGGCCCAAGGCAGCTGTCCCGTGGGCCCCACTGCCCTAAAAAAATAAAATGTTTCCCGGCCGCTTTAGGGCCCCCCCGCACTGTAAGGAGTCCCACCGGGTGGCCCATGCACTTAGGGCCACCCGGTGGGCTTGTACCAGCAGGGGCCCGGTCGGGCGCTGTGGCCCTTTAACAGCGCGACCGGGCCTCTTGCTTTTCGGCACCGCTGGGAGGAAGTGAGTGCCAAGCGTCACTTCCTCCCATAAAGAGCTGCTGCGCGGGAGAAGAAGGACCTGCACGGGAGGGAGGAGGAGGCAGTGAGGATGGGGGCTCCTCACTCACATCATCCTCAGGCAGCACACTGGATCCCAGGGATGCCACCCTCCAGCAAAAGGTAGGAAACTGGAGGGTGGGCTTAAAATGTAAATTTTACATGTATGTCAGTTTGTCTGTGTGTATGTGTGTCAGTATGTCTGATAGTGTATGTGTCTGTGTGTGTCAGTATGTCTGTGTGTATGTGTGTCAGTATGTCTGTGTGTATGTGTGTCAGTATGTCTGATAGTGTGTGTGTGTTAGTATGTCTGACAGTGTGTCTGTGTGTGTGTGTGTGTGTGTCAGTATGTCTGACAGTGTATGTGTCTGTGTGTGTCAGTATGTCTGTGTATGTCAGTATGTCTGATAGTGTATGTGTGTATGTCAGTATGTTTGACAGTGTCTGTATCTGTGTGTGTGTGTCAGAAGGTCTGTGTGAGTGTATGTCAGTATGTATCTGTGTGTCAGTATGTCTCTGTGTGTGTCAGTATGTCTGGTGTGTGTGTGTGTGTGTGTGTCAGTATGTCTGACAGTGTGTCTGTGTATGTCTGATAGTGTATGTCAGTATGTTTGACAGTGTCTGTATCTGTGTGTGTGTCAGAAGGTCTGTGTGAGTGTATGTCAGTATGTCTGACAGTGTATGTCTCTGTGTGTGTCAGTATGTCTCTGTGTGTGTCAGTATGTCTGGTGTGTGTGTGTGTGTGTCAGTATGTCTGGCAGTGTGTCTGTGTATGTCAGTATGTCTGATAGTGTATGTCAGTATGTTTGACAGTGTCTGTATGTGTGTGTGTCAGGTCTGTGTGAGTGTATGTCAGTATGTCTGACAGTGTATGTATCTGTGTGTGTCAGTATGTCTGTCAGTGTGTGTGCCTGTTTGTGTGTCAGTATGCCTATTAGTGTGTATGTGTGTGTGTGTGTGTGTCAGCATATCTATCAGTGTATGTATCTGTGTGTCAGTATGTCTCTGTGTGTGTCAGTATGTCTTCCAGTGTATGTGTGTGTGTGTGTCAGGCACATACACTGATATACATACTGATACAGGCACACTAATAGACATACTGACACACACAGGCACATACAATGACAAACATACACTGATAGACATACTGACACACACACACATGCACATATACAGACATACTGACACACACAAACACACACTTATACTGATAGCTATCCTGACACACACACACAGGCACATATACAGACATACTGACACACACACAGCCACATACGCTGATAGAGATACTGTGTGTGTGTTAGTATGTCTGTATATGTGCCTGTTTGTGTGTGTGTGTGTCAGTATGTCTATCAGTGTTTGTGCCTGTGTGTGTCAGTATGTTTGTCATCATATGTGCCTGTGAGACCGTTTGTGTCAGTGTGTCTTTCAGTATGTCTATCATTGTATGTATTTATGTGTGTCAGTATGTCTGTTTATCTGTCTGTGTATCTGTATGTGTCTGTGTGTTTATCTGTGTGCGTATATGTATGTAGTCAGTGTGTGTATCTGCTTGTGTGTCAGCATGTCTACCGGTGTCTGAGCACAAACAATAAATACAAATACACCCTTCCATTCAAACTTCAACATTACATACAAACACACTCCTGCATTGAAAGTCAACACTTCATACAAACACACCTCTGTGTTAAACAACAGAATTATATATAAACAAACCCCTACATTCAAAAACCAGCACTACACTTAAATGTACACTTGCATTCAAACTCTAACACCACATACAAACACATTCACACAAACATACTCCATACAAAAACATGCTTACATTCAAACACACAAACACAGTGCTAAATACAACCCTGCAAGCATGAGAAATTGGTAGAGCCCCAGCTGTCAATGCATTGTTGGAGTTGCATGACAGATAGGGTTCTACCTTCTTTCCAACCTTGTAATTGGGGGTCCAAATGAAATTCTTGCACCAGGGCTCTTTCTACTTTAGTTCGCCCACTGCGTTGGGGTGGAGGCGTGATTGCATGCTAGGGAGTGGATCCAGGGGGCCCAAGCAAATGCTTGCCCAGGGCCCAATCAATATTAAAGACGGCCCTGCCCGGTTCGCCGGTTTGCGAACATTTGCGGAACCGAAAATTTTATGTTCGCGATATCATTAATGACAGCCATTTTAACTCACAGACACTGTTTGGACTTTTCTACACAGTGCCATCTCGCCGGTATTTGGTGCACAAAGACATTGTGCAGTAGTTTTAAATTATACAACAGGGGACACATTATACAGTAATTATTTTTCATATAGCCTGTAGATGTTCTGCGGAATCTGCATTAAACTGTATCTTCCAAACTACTGAACGGATCTTTGTGAATTTTGGATATGTGGTTCACCCAGATCCCCCGGTTCCGAGGATATAGTTTTATGTGGTTATTGCATGTTTTGGAGTCCCTGTGATATGTTTTATAATACTGTATTTCTCTGCCTGTGATAATTATATTAACCATTGTGTTCAGTAATCATATCACAGGCAGAGGGAAGGATTTTGTGTGGGAGTGTCTGTGTGTATTGTACAGATTGATTGGTTGTATTTCAAAACCCTGTGGGCTGTACTATGTTTGTGGATTGTGAATAAAAGAGGCTGTATGTGCCAGTACAGTCAGTTCTGCTTGACCTCAAAACGAAGTGTCGTCTCATTATTAGTGGAATTGGATTGTATGCTGATTGCCAGGAGTGTAAGCTGATTTTTCCTGTTCAGCTGCTTACAGCATTCATATGCTTTTGAGCATTCGTATGCTTCTCCGGTTCGGTGGTTGTGGTGTCTGCTGCAGTGCTTGGAGTCCTCAAGAAGCGCTAGGAGCATCCTTCAATGGAGGTACCCAGTCGGGGTTCCAGGTGATCCGTTACAACGATAGTTGGATGTCAAGTTGGGTCAAGATTGGGCTTCTTTAGAATTGGGGTTACAGTTGCATGTTTGAAGGGTGATGGAAATATACTAGAGGAGAGCTAGAGATTGAGAATTTTAGTGAGAGGTGGAGAAAGAGAAGAATACAGAGTATGGATGAGATGTGAGGGAATTGGATCTAGGGAGCAGGTGGTGGGGCGGGAGGACTGGAGCAGAGTAGAAACCTCTTCCAATGTAGCGGGTGCGAATGAACATAGAACAGCAGAGGGAGTGAAGTTAGGGGAAGTATTGTAAGGGGAAGAAGAAAGATGAGAGATCTCTTCTCTGATTGTAGAGATCTTGTCAGTGAAGTCATTTGCAAAGTCTGCGGTGGTCAAGTTAGTAGATGGAGGAGGAACAGCAGTATAATGCTTTCCTATGGGGGAAGTCCTAATAAGAGTAAGGTCAATGCCTCACATGCCTATTAGGTCTTACCCGCCAGCTGACGTCAGTGGGAAGGAGAGGATGTGGAGCCTTAATCAGCATGAGGGACATAGTTGGAATCACATAAGTGACATAGTAGGGCACTATAGGGAGCTGTAGTGCCAGGAGAACAACATTGTTTTCCTGGCACTATAGTTTCCCTTTAAATTAATCTTTCTGATAGCCATCCTCAAGAGATACAGCTGATGGGCACTGTCCAATAATGTATATGTACATCAACTCTTCTGAAAACAAGACCACTACCTTTCCCAATCACTGCAGACATTGGGGATTGCAGCAAAGGTGTGTCTTTGAAACAGTAAGTGTCAGTGAGTGTGTGTGTCTGTCAGTGTCAGTGAGTGTCAGTGTCAATGAGTGTTTGTCATTGAGTGTCTCTGTCAATGTGTGTGTGTGTGTCTGTCAGTGAGTGTGTGTGTGTTTGTCAGTGTGTGCAACTGTCATTTAGATTGTGTGACTGTCATTGAAAATGTGTGTCTGCCAGTGTGCATCTGTCAGTGTGTGACTGTAAGTGAGTGTGTCTGATTAGTAAAATGGGTGGGGCTTATAGATGGAGAGGTGCCATAGAAACATGCATGTCTTGACATTTGCAAAAGGAGAGGAGCTAGTAAGATGCATCGGTGACCTAAGATTAGCTCTGCCGTGCTATATAAGCTTTAATGGGGTCAGAGCAAATTTTAGCAAAAATAGCTCTTCTTGTAAAAATGTTTTTGCCTTGTAATTTTTACATTTTCACCTTGAGAGAAAATTAGAGATTATTCTAGTTTAGTGAGCAAATGATTTAAATTTTATTAAAAACAAGAGGCTAATATATGTTTAATCCTTCTTTACTGAGCCTCCTAGCAGCAAAGAAGCAGTTAAAGGGACTCTCCAGTGCCAGGAAAACAATCTGTTTTCCTGGCACTGCAGGTCCCCTCCCCCTTCCACCTCCCATCCCCGGACACTCCAGGCACCCAGACCAATGGGCAGAAGTGGTCTGGGTGCCTGGAGTGTCCCTTTAACAATGTGGATAAAATCGAAATTTAACGAATCAGAAGACATATCAAGAACATGTAGTCAGACTCTTCCTAACTCCTCTTTCTTGATGCAGCCAGTCAGAAGTAGAATCAACCATGTAAATCAAACAGTTGAAACTTGAAACTAAAATTAACAGAAGACTATATAGTCAAACATAGCTGAGTAGACAACTAGGTAAACCAGAAACAGGTGAACAATCACACGCAGTAACAGAAGTAGATCGTCACACTAGAAATAAAGAGCAAACATTGTGAAAGTATAGTCCTATGGACATTAAAAACAACACATCTAAACGTAATATAAAGTTAAGATACTGTAACCCTGAATGAGCTAACTCTAACTACTGCTCAAAATACATGGACTAACTGTCAGACTATATAAATTGGAACAACAAAGTATTAAAGATCGAATGAGCAATATAAAAGAAATTGAACTGAAAACAAAACACCACAACGTGAATGTCTGAGACTCTTCAAAAAGAGACTAATCAAAGGAGAAGGGCCAGTTTAGCAGGAATATGGCAAAGAGACAGGGGATGTTAGACGGTCATTGCTCTAGAGAAAAAACCCGAGCAAAGTGCCAAAAATTTGAATATCTAGGAGTCGGGTCTGGCAAGACAAATGGATGGCTATTTGTCCACAGAGGAATTGTCTATCGGGGTATGAGCCTCGGAAATCGCAGACCTGCAAACATTGATAAGAGTGATAGGAATTGCTTTGGTTGTAAAGCGAAGAAAAAAAGTTTAAAATGTGACTGAGAGAGGCTGAAAAGGGATCAATATCCCTTCCTACACAACACCTAACACAAATCCGCTAGGCAGAGAGATAGGCATGTTTAGTTCCTGGGGATCAAGAGTCCCATAAGAATGCTTGTGCTGTCTTCAAAAGTCCCAACACATACCCTGAAATGGTCCAAACCACAAGGCAAAGATGACCCAGAAAGGTGAGTGGATGAAAGTTGCCTGCTGGATTCCTGAGGATATCTTTGGTCCAAGGCAATTACAAAGGGTAGTCTACTGACATTTTCAGGAGAGTGGGAAACCATGTTTGTGCTTGCCATGAGTGTTTTACCAGAACTATCGTGACTCCCAGAACTCTGAGATGGTAAAGAATGAGTGGGGTCATGGAGAAAGGAGGGAAAGCGTTCGCTCCGGCTATCAGCCACAACTGCAGGAAGGCATCAACTGCCAGAGAGAGAGGATCCGGCAACTAGCTGAAGAAGGCATCCATCTGACTGGGATGCAAAGAGCTCTAGAGTGATGGATATAGTCGAACGTGTGAGGATCTAGTTTCCAATTGTTGGGATCCCTCCTGTGATGGAAAAAACAATCTGCG